TTTGTATTTCCAACTGATTTATGTAAAACCACAGGTTAGGAAGCACTGTTTGGCAGCGATACGGAGTTATATCCATCTGGGTGCAAAGCTCTATTAGAGGTTGGTATCAGACTGCTGGAAACTCATTCTATGCCAGCCATAGAAGTAATTTAGAGCGGCTGTTGACCGGACAACGTTGTAAAGGTGTTTGTTTCGCATTACGTACACAAGGGGTCTGATTATCTGGTTTCCACCGGTATCTCAATGTGTTTTCCAGTACGACCCGTAGGGTGCTTTCAGAGCTGACTTTCCGTAGTCCAGACCGATATTGCCATCAAGACAGCCAACAAGATATTGATTTTGAGAAAATATCATTGAAGGGCTTCAGTGGGAAGTTCTATATCAAGCCATGAAATAGGCTCACAGGATCCACACACGCATACAGAAATATTTCTTAGACTTCCTCGTCGGCGGCCTCGGTCCATCGAGTAGATGTGCGCGACTAACCTTGGGAAAATGTTTCGCGTTGCAGTCCCGAATCAGGCGCCAAATAAGCTGTCATATTTAAAGGCTGGAACTTGTGCGCAATAAACATCTGTTCAGCTGTCACAATGTGACATGTTTAAACCAGAATCCAGAGAGGTTTATGCATGGGTTCAGGTAGAAGACGATTCAAGGATAAATTACAACCATCACCTTATGTGGCTTTGCACTTGTACTACGTATTTTGGTCGGGTTAGGCTCAGTAACAGTTGAAGAAAACCATCAGGAGTTGAGCTTAGCACTATCTGTGGAACAGGATTAGACGGAATCGTGACATACAGGGACGTTAGAGGACTGTAGTGTCACCAAACTGTGTCCCACGTATGCCCTCACGTGGTCTATGATATTAATGCGCACGAATCGAAGTGCTGGGATTGCATTGCGGTTTACTAAATCGCATGATAAGTTAGAACATTTCAGCATGTCCACTCATGTAAATGAAGGTCTACCGATTGTGGAAACATGCGACACACATTGGCGATTATTGTAGCGATCACTTTAAAGACAGTCGACGATGGACATCCCTTAGCTGTCTGAGGATTTGACCTCGGGTTTAGAGCAACATCCTGTTTATGTCCGGGCATTTTAGCAAGGTTGATTTTGCATTATCAGGACTGCCGCTTTGAACAACCCCAGTATAGCAAGTAAATTCCGTCTACGACCGAAAGTGAAATGATAGTTTGGAAAGTAGATTTGGTGAATCATTCTTTGAGGATGGTCCTATTAAGTTTCCTTGACATGGTTCTGGTTATAAGTTGAGACCAACCCCTTAATAGCTCACTATCAGACTAAACTCTCTGGGGCGTATCGCGTAGGGTTCACTCCAAATCCCCATCACTGTTGGCCCTCGGTGTAACCCTAAATCATGCGTGAATGGAACAGCAAAGTGGTGAAACTAAGAATGGGGTGTCAGGGTTTACCCCATATTGGCGTGCAAAACAGCGTTTATTCTTACAGGTTATTGCCCAAGTACGTAACAACCGACAGCAATTCAGGAATGGGACTGATGCATCGAAGAAGCTCGAGAGCTCTAGTAGACTATCAGTGTGCCCTTATCAGTCCTATGAGTGGTGCGGTATCAAGGAAAATAGCTGCACATCTAAACTTCCGGTGCAACTTTACTATGAACTTGCCTCTGCGCTGTACAGTACGTCAATGAGTGTCTTAAGCAAGGGATTCAGCTGGGTCTTATTTATGCCTAAAGCATTTATATTTTTTCTTCACGAAAAGGTATTCAGCTGTATTATTTAGTTTCATTCTTAAGTGTGCCTAACCCATACGGATCTACTTTATTTCTGGAGACTGTCATCTTACAGTAGGTAGGGCTTTGTAGGCTGTAGAAAACTTTGCAGGAAGCTAACTTGTTGGCCTGACCTGTTTTCCACTGTTCTTTGTGAGTGCGCGATGCTGTGATGCTGGAACAGTTGAAAGCAACTATTGGCCTGGCATTATTCCAGCTGTTCAAAAAGCATTTCTAAACCCTATCATAAAGTAACCAAAGTAACCAAAGACCAGTGTTTCGGTTTTGATTACCATGTCTAATGTATGATACTCTTATTTGGAGGTAAACAAGACTGTCTGAAATTGAATGTGCCAGTTGAACTCTTCTCCAAGATAGTGAATCAAGGCACTACATCCATCTCAGATGTCGACGGGCCATGGAATCGAACCTACACAATCGCAATTGTTTGGCACATTGATAACTGACTAGGTCTTCTTCTGTAAGCTATATCACACTTGATGAAACACACCCAGTTGTTGGAATATTCGCTCACTGTCATTAAAAGGACGGCTAACTAACAGATTATTATAGGTACTGACCCGAGGATGATGTGCGGAAAACAATCTGTTCTTCAATTGTCTTTTTGAAGCACTAATGTGCAACCTACAATGATGAGAACCGGAGACTCAACTAAATCACAGTATTACGAAAGTAAATGTGCTTAAGAAGTATCATCCCACTTTTCAACCAGCACGAGGTCCGAGATGTCAGAGTAGTTTTCCCGGCATAATACTTCATTCGTTTCTATCACGGCGTTGCCAAGAAAGCTGGTGTCCACGCGGTAGTTGACGGTTTATCTACAAAGCCACTTCTGGAAATGCCGCGATTGGCCGAGAAAGCGATTGCTTAACATCTTTATTAATCATGTCGTCCGATGAAATTGTCTGCCGTGGGTGGATAAAAATATGGTGATGCATACATGTTTGCTCAACGCTTAGTTTGATGCTAATGGATTGTACAAAGGAATACACGATATTAGATCAGGTCACAAAAGCCGTCGGTAAAACGAGATCGATGCTCAGTTCGGATAGAGAAGATTTCGGTTGTCGTAAGCTGGCATGTGACCTAGCTACACAAGGCTCGATGCCAAGTCTCAAATCGACATTTGTTTACTCTTACCTTATAAATGTCAGTCCGATAGTTCAGAATGACCATCACATGGCTCTGAGTGATGTGCGCTTGTTTGTTCATCGGTCTTATCGTGTCCACGATCACTACCTGGTTGTTCAATTGGACTGCAGTGCAAAACACCAGTCCTAATGAGTTATAATAAGTTTAACCCCAAAAGTTAATAGTAGTGGTACGATTCTTTGAAAGCATTCAGTACAAAAATATGAATGACAGCAGTTGGACCAAGAACATGCTGAAGTCAGTAGGGATTCGATAGCAAACACAGGGGTACAATCCCTTTGACAACTCGTTATAATTATTTATCACTTTGAAACAACACATGGATCGGTAATCCACCTGCAACACTGTGTCCCATCAGGTCTTTACTTCTAGTTGGAACAAAGGTATACACCAATCCCTGTTACACAACCTCATTTCGTTTAAAAGATTAACAATGAATTCTAGATCAAATCGTCCAAGAATGCGCTTAAATAAGAAGATGGTCTAAAAAAGGATGTCCACATACCGTACTCAAATCCATGTCCCCATACGACTCTACCTTTCGTCACAAATACCTAAATAGTTGTACAAAAGGGTCAAATTTAGTTCCTGTCTTTGCCACAGGTGGGGTTCATTAACGGTGCGTTCCCTTGCGTATAACCAAGGTTTTTACCACAGCACTGGATCGAATCAGCAGGAGGGGCTACAGGACCGTCGTTGTGGGACTTACTGAAACTAGATAATTCGGTTTGAGCTGGAGAATTACCAGGTGAACAAATCTACGGCTCATGTCGGAGGAATGTGTGTTACGTTCAACTGCGCTGTGTACTACGAACGAACCTAAATAGACATGAAGCTTCTAAGTGCCACAGAAGAGCTGTTCAGATGTAGGCAATGCGTTAATTCAGGTAATCTCAAGCATCTGTTTGCGCCTCAGCTGTGCAAATCGGCATCTACAGGGTGATGAAGATCTTGACAGCGTATTAGCCGTTTGTACTCTGAGTCCGAGTTGTGATTCCCCACAAAGATTTACTTCACACGAAAACTGCTGGAAAGTGGCCTTATCTTTCCCATGATCTCAGAGGTTAGCTCCTGGTAACATCTTGCTGGTAGATACTCTGCTATTAATTTTCACCTGGTGTGAACCTACCCAAGTAACCTAGACGGAGTAAGCGTAATCTGGACCCGATACTAATGATCGATTGGGCCGATGCTCTCAATAACTCACGAAACATGTGTATCGAGCTGAGTTGTACAGTGATTGCATCAACCTTTCAGTCAGGGACGATTGGCAGATTTCAGTTTTCGACATTGGTTAATGAGTGAAGGGAAGCTAAAAGGAGGAAGAGGCAGAGGGTTGATTCATAAACCACAATTAAGTCATACTGAACCAGTTTACGTGGCTTTGTCCAATAATTCGTATAGTTCAAAAGGGGCATCTAAGTTAGAAAACAGAAAACAAGAGTCCTTTTTCTCACCCGTTACAAGGTTTACGTGGTCGCGTGGACGTATCATCCTCTCATGATTTTTAAAAAGCCGAAACTACACCACTTTTTTCGGTCTTCCTTGTGGTTGTTTGACCAATCCTTCGACTGAGGAGGCCGGCCAAGCAACGCCAGCACAAGGTCAACCAGATGATGAGGGTTCAACTATCAATAAGTATTAAACAAAGGCAGCATCTCGCACAAATTCGAGACGGCCTTGGGGTGTTATCGACTACATTCACCAGCTCGTCATTTGATTTGAGGTTGCGACCACACCCGGTGAAAATCACTTGACCTTAGGCCAACCAGTCAGTCAGTGCCATAGAAAGCAACGCTGCGCTTTGATTGGTCAAGGGTGTCGTCATGGTAACAGGACGCCATGAATGCACCTACCATTCCAACTATATACCACAGAAAAGAGGGTGAGGTAAGCAGTCATTCAATGAGATTTATTGTGGAAAACGATTGTCGCATACTGTATCCCCGTAAGTAATGAGTGCCATGAAGTTGCTAGCCTAACTATTCACTGTGGCCATCAAGATAAATGTCGTTCAAGCAAATTTAATCAGAAAGGAAGTGATTTGGTTTTACGAGAGACTCACCTGGAACCCAGCTGAATCTCTCGTTCGTGATGTCTCCAGGCAAGTGAATGTGCTGGACCAGGCCGCTTCATGCTTCAGTTGCCTGGAAACATTACTAACGAAAGATTCAACTGGGTTCCAGGTGACTCTCTCCCAAAACCAAATTAGTTTGCAAATGAGTGTGTTTCGCTAATTTCGTGCAATTTGGTTTCAATTAGAACCTAAGGTTGACGGAAACTCGGGGATCGCGCCTACCTTATGAGCCCCAAGACGAATTTTCAGCAACCTTATGAGTAGTACACTACGAATATACAGAAAGGAATTGCTTCAAGTACCATACTTGCTGTGAAAATCAGTTCTTGTTGTGGGGTTTGGGGATGTGTATTGTTCACATTCACATCACTCTCGTTTGAACAGTCGCCCTCCTGTCCTGCAGCACTTATTCTGGCGAATCCACACCAAATGGGTGGAAGCACTGGATTCGATTTCGCTCTTATTAGAGCTCATCGGCAGCGCATATCCCATGGCCGTGTCCCTGACATGCGATGAGAACTTGCTACCGCTACTCCACCAGCGCACGTTGGACGCATCTGAATTCTCACGTCTGAAGGGGTGAGTGTGTTCACGCTTGAGCGATGTGATTGGTGTACCCGACATATCATACATACGACGACGGAATAGTGGTAACACGTTCTCCTCGGATGTCGGGTGTACGGAGTTCAAACCCCGGACACGGTCATTGGATATGCACTGCCGATGAGCTCTAATAAGAGCGAAATCGAATCCAGTGCTCCCACCCATTTGTTGTGGATTCGCCAGAATAAGTGCTTCAGGACAGGAGGACGACTGTTCAAACGAGAGTGATGTGAATGTAAACAATATCAGTTCTCTTTAGACTTCATGCATTTCCCCGCACGATAGTCAGCTGCCTTTGTGGAATGTAGGTCTGTTGTTTAATTCCTGGCCATTGTACTAGCATGTTAGTTCAGGAGACTAGGCTTTTAGCGATCACTGGTGGGCTTTGTGAAGCGCACATTTCAGGTAGAAAATGCATTTGACACTGACGAGTTCCACTCCAGTTCTCTATTGATTTCTATCACTCCCAATTCCACTTATTCTCATTTGTGTAATAAGAGCCACGATCTGGGTGCTGACCATAGATACTGAGATTTACCGACAAATCAGCTAACTACTGCGTTAAGGTCATGGAAATCGGTCTTGCAGTTGAACTTGGACCCATGAAACGCAAGAATAAAGCTGAAGGTAGATGCGCTAGATATCTCAAACAGCTTCTCAACTAATTCTCAAGAATTCCATTCACTCCAAGCATTTTTTGCACTCTGTGACTGATGATGGGTTTTCGGGCAAACGATTGGTTTCTTGACATGAAGTAAGGTGCTCGAATCACGAGTGACTTTGTGTTTAGGAGGAGGCGTTTGAAGTTTTCTTTACTCAGTGATTCTTTCTTACTTTCTTTTTTCTGATCTGAAAAAGTATCTGTGGCACTCCGTACGTATTTTGTATAACGAAATGAAAGCAGACTGCCTGAGTATGCCTTTGTCTTGGTGTGTCTAAAAGTTGCAGAACGCTCCGAATGCCTATATAGTATAAGTGAATAAACCAGTTCACCGAATGACAGAAAGGTTGCCAGAGCGTATCTATCTCAGGACACCTCTTCTCCGGCTCCGCCATTTACAACCAGTGAATTGTACCTGAACATGACAAGGGTAGGATCGGCCTGAGCGAGGATGTAAAAGAATAAATTGGATATCCGCAACAATTTCTTTTGCGGCCGGAAGGTAGATGTTTCTAGCACTACACTGAATTGACGTAGGAGTCCCCAAAAGGCAACTCACTGGCCATAACTAGGTAGCCAAGCTAGTTCACATGATCGGCTGTCTGTTGGCAACATTGTTGAAACCACTTGCTCTTCTCCTTACAAAACGTGGCTTTTAGAATAAAATTGTAACTTTCAAACGGAGGTCTATTTAGAAAGACATAAAAGTTGCAAAACTGTTGCGAGCGACTGTTATGAGAATTCTGAACGAACAAGTTCTCAGATCTGCCAAGTGGACCTTCACAGGCGTCTGCAAGCTTCTAGAAGATACTACCATTGAAAGGAAGAAGGCCTTCTCTGTGGAGTTATCTATTGAAAAGCACCAACTGAACAGTTACAGACTATTTGACAGGGAAGCAAAACTCCCACATGCAACTTGATTAAAAAACTGTGTCCATTTTTTCTGGAACAGGTCTTCCTGAAGGTCCTGGATACTCATTGACTATCGCTCAAACGTACATGAATGCTACAAAGCGATTCCACAAATTCCGTAATAGATCTCACTTTGCGAGAGTTCGAAGCGGATTTATGAGAAAAACCACATATTACTCGCGTGCTTCATTAGTAGTATCCACAGTTGCACCGTTACCTCAAATAAAATTGTCTTCACTTGTTTTTGTAAAGCCCAACCTCAAACATAAAATGGCCTGGGGTTTGAGAATAGAACTGCTCCGAAAAGAAGAAGGACGAGAACGGTCCATAAAAAACGTACCATCACTGCAAATATCGCTAGCACTCAGGTTGAGTTTTTCGTTTATCGGCTAGTTTGGTCTAAACTTTCAGTATTTCGTAATACAAAATTGTTCTGAGGATAAAATATTTCATCGGAACACAATACCACAGATATCTGGTGTAACCAGTGATATGCCTTGCCACATTATGTCGGTAATCTCACAAAATCTGATATTCCTTAGTGAGTTCGGTTTCGAATGTTTTATGCAGCACAATATCCGTTTATAGCACGTTCATAAAACTTTTCACAGGAGGCTTTTGCAGGTTAGAGTAGGAAAATTATCGTTAGGCCTGAAATAATTAATTAACGTTTTGGGGATATTGGGTTTGGCTTGACTGTGTCAGCAAACTGTGTCAGCCTCAACATTAGGTAGTTACTTGTGATCTACACTCGCTGACGTGACTTCAACGGGTCATGTATCAACTCATCAATCAGTTTGGGCAGCTAGTGTCGCCGTTTGCAGACTCTTCACTTGAAAGGTAGGAGGACTTCCAAATAAGCTACGGTACCGGCTGGACTCAGAGTATTGGTCAGGTCCCCGGAGAAAAAACGTTCGGCCAAACTCGTGGTCGTTCTGTGTTTCTTATTCTTACAAACCATCACTGCCTCCTTCATTCTGGTGATTATCATCGCACCAACTCTTCCTCACTTGACATGAGTAGATTCAGCTTCTCATTAAGGTTGGTCCGAAATTCTTCACACACAATTTAGTCGTCAGAGGAGGTGAAACTATCCACTAAAGTGTCGTGGAACTGGTAGCCAAGTCCGGGAACATCACTCATCACCATGATGAACAATATTGGGGAGAGTGGATCCTCCTGCTTCACTCGTCTGCGGTAATGGACCTTCAAATTCGGGAAGACTGCTACAACACTCTCAAAGGACTGTACGAAGTACCGAACTAAACGTGACGATGTTCCAGACGCCACGGTAAACCTACTAATTATGTCATGCAAAGTCGAAAGGAAGGCTTTTGACATATGGAAAAACGCCATACTGGGATTAGAAACAGTTACTGAAGAATGGAAAACCAAAGCTTCTGAAGAGCCTTCTCGACGTAGGTATATAAAACAAAGTAAAGATCAACGAGAGTAGGCAACATGAAAATTGGTCTGACTTAGTCCACTGAAATCGAACTTTGGACCTTTGAAACCCGAGTAACCCGAGTACAACCAAAACGTGTTGCACAACTCACAGATAATAACGGCAAGTTGAAATACCTAGCAACTACATTGGCATTGAACAAGCAAAGCATTTTGGGCGTGAGGTTGTCCAAACCTGGAGACATACCGTCCGTTGATCGGATGGTATAACTGACTCCTCCCTGTAAACGGCTCAGCTAAAACCCAGCCGAATGGTAGCGCTACGGTCGGCTGTCAGAGTGTTTTGGAGATTAGAAAACTTGTATCCAGTACAGTTCGGCGTTCGAAGATAAGAAACAGTTTCCTTCCAAGACCCATCCAGCACACCCCATACTTCATCTTTCCGCCTCTACTAGTTCAGTGTGTGGATGGCGGCGTAGTTGGCTCAACAGATTTGCCCTCGTTTGGCTGGCACACGGGGAGCATGCCGGTGACAGTGCTGAGAGACAACTTTTCGCGTGTGTGGACATACCTTGGATGCATGGAGATCCAGAAATGATGGGACTCGCTCCGATGTCACGAAGCCATATTACAACCCTCGGGCAAAGGCCAGAAATTAGACACTAGAGAGTGAATTTTCACAGTTCGATTTCAGGAGCGCCAATACAGTCCACGATTTGCTTGCACCAAGTGCTAGAAGCTCTGGGGTCGGACGAATGTAGAGCTGGTTGAAGTTTAGTTGGGGACACCTGATGACCATTCGTGCAGATGGGTTTGTCAGTTAAGCACACGTGACCTGGTTTTGTGCTGATGGCCAGTTTACCAGGAAAACCTTGTTCCTTATGTGAACAGTGCGGTTTACGTATCATAAGATAGATAGAACTTGTCAGACAGGTGCAAGAGTGACAGTGGCCATTGAAGGGAGAAGCAGGCATGGGAAATCTTCACTGAAGCAAGTTTATCTGTATCACTGTGAGTAGAATGCGTGTGTCGATGTTGTTAACTCAAGCCAATCCTCGTTGGAAAGCGAAGGGAACAATCAGCGGATGTCAACTAAGCGACCATGTTCACACCAATAATTTCATGGACGCGAATTCGACCGTTAGCTATCAAGTCAGCTTCTAGTTTGCAGCACATTTCGTAGTCTTCATAAGCGAGCCTTGCGAATCTCTACTGAGTACTGGTTACCATCAAGCTTATTTTTGTGCACGAAAAACTTGGTTTTTACAAGGGTGTGGCAAGTTATAAAGCCAATTCAGCTTAAGAGCCCTGTTGTTGCGCCACCAGTAAGTGAAGTGTTCCCTGTTACTGTTTGCTCACACATACGAATAACGTAGTTTCCTCGAAACGAGACCGTCTGTCTAAACAGGACCTCATCAAATATGTTCCTTCAGACGGAAACTAGTGTAGTTTCCAACACTTTCCTTACATTTGTCATAC